GTCACCAGCGTTGGTGCTAAGCCACTGCGCCGCGAAGCCGTCAAATCGAATTAAAACTTGTTGTGAGATTACAGTGTTAACCATGGACAGTCTACTGGACTGTTAATTCAAAGGAAAATAAATAGGTGGAACAGATTATATATGTGGAATAGGTGTATATATAGTTATATAAGTGAAGCTGGTACAAATTTACCTAATATAACCCACTCCTATGGCCAGTAGAGCGCTTGAACTGTTCTATTTTGTATATTTTTTCATAGGATAAATTAAAAACAGATTTGTAGAATGTATTCTCAACACGATCCATAAATAATAAGCTTTTTTATTTGCTATAACTTTAAAGCGGTTTTTATTATGGAATCTCTGCAAGGTACACGTTTAAATCGCGATTTAGTGTCATCTTCGTGATTTTTTTATCGAGCCAATTATTATGATTCGCGTTTCTGTCTTCGCACAGAACTTGTCGCTATGTACAATTATTATAAAATTTGTTTTTGCACAATCATTACATGACAGTAAATTTAAAGAAGTTCAATCGAGAGGTCAATCGACGGATTCAACTAGGCGGGGCAGCGTTCGGGAGATTACGAAACATCTTCTCGTCAGGTATACTTCAAAATCTGAAAATAAGATTGTACTAATGTGCGTGTTGCCAGTGATGACTTATGGATCTGAGACGTGGTCCTTCACTGCTGACCATAGCCCAAGTTGGGCTAAGTCTTTTGGACTACTTCAGCTTACTAATCCGTTGGGCTGCCCAACGGTTTAGTAAGCTAAAATAGCAATGGCCCGGCCATATAGCTCGAAGAACCATCAACCGATGGGGAAGAAAGGTTCTCGAGTGGCAGCCTCGTACCGTTAGAGAGAAGTGTAGGGCGGCCCTCTACTAGATGAGAGTGACGACCTGGTAAGACACACGGGAAGTCGATGGATGCAGGTGGCTCGGACCGTGCTTTGTGGTATTCTTTGGGAGAGGTCTATGTCCAGCAGTGAACTTGTGAAGGGCTGTAATGATGGTGATGATAGAAATTCAAAAAAGTTGAAAGATACTGCTTCGTCGCCTTAAGTGTCACCGTTCCATGCTTTATACCCCTTACAACCAAATAAGTAATAATAAGGTTTAAATTTATTATCGCTTAGCGATAATAACTTTTAAACTAACTTCTTCGTCCAAAACCAGTTTAGATTGCTTCTTGACTTAATTTTCAACAAACAAAATGCCGACTAAAATATTATTATGAAATATGCTTATGATCCGTGCCCTTTAACTTTTACTGCAACATCAATTTTGGTTTAATAACTTCTGTAGATTTATTTTAATAGTAATGTCAAAGTAAACACAATGGCAGACTCTGTTAGTTTTTTATTAACACTCCTATTGCGTGTAAATCACGTCAATGTCACTCTAATAGCTAATAATGGTGTTGTATGCGACATTACACTATATTACTATTGCGAGCAACGTATGATGTCATCATGTCATTTGTGGACGACTGTCCTTATTATAAGTGCTACATCCATTTTTACAAACGTTTATACGTAGATAGTGTGAAATAAGGAACTTCGTTCCAAAAATCAAATCCATATCTTAGCGACAAAGTAACTACACAAATAGGTACTAAAGCATAAGGAATTTATTTAATAAGTATTTTTATACTAATTCTTTAATAGAAATTAAGTGGAATCATATAGAGCGCTGCACTGACCGACAAATTTTAAGATTTGTAGACCAGTATTTGTTGACATTTGATAACATTTTTCTATACACGTGCCATAAAGTTTGATATAAACTCACTGTTTATAATTCTTACTTGTAATCATTATCAACAACATTTTTGCCGTTTTTATAACCAGTCAACATACGTTTGTTTTATGTACATTATACATAATATATTTTTATTTTCTAGGATAGGACGTATTCTCAAATCGCTACAAGTTAACGATAGAGTTGAAATAAATAAAATGGAACGCATTTAATGTTTTTTCGAGACGTCTAAATAATTGCAGCTTATCCTTGAATTTGATATTTATTATCTAATTTTTATACGCCGCCTCTGAAACTCTGTTTAAGAGGCAATTTATTCAATTTGTCAAATCTTTGTAACTGTCACTTATAATTTACCACCGACAGATGGAGTAGCCGCCGATACAATATAGCAGTAAAACTGCACGAAACATTAATATTTTTTTTTGTATAATAATAACACTGGCATTATTTTAGGCCGCAACCATGAAGCATCTTGGTATAGACAACGAAAGTTTATTACAAAAAATATTGTGTTTTATAATGTAGTTGCGCACCGTCATCGGATTTTTGCGTGGATCAGTCTGGTTCGTCTCGATGAATAAATGTCTCGAATTAAACGCGGTCGAGACCATTTCGAGTAAATTTATCGCAAACATCGTTTATCATTGGTCGAAAGAAGTTCACGCAAATTAAAAACAAAACGATAAAAAATATCATTTTACAACGAATCCCTGATTAACTCGCTGTAATTAGGTCAAAGAGTCCTGTTATTGGCTTGAATAATAGCTACAGAATTTTACGCTACACAATTTGCAACATTTATTCTATTTTTATGGAATAAGGATGACAAACGGGCGCACAATCCACTTGGTAGTAAGTGGATGATGCTGTGGCTCATAGACATCTACATCTATCTCCTCTAATAAGAATCAAAATGTAGATGCGTTGTCACTCCTGAGGACTAACATGCAATGTCTCGTTTTCAGTAAAAAGGGTTTTCGGTTCCCTAGACTCACCATACGAAGTTCAGCATCATTAAGGAGCTATTTTACGCTAGTATTCTGTGAGAGCGTGGCCCATCCCGGGTCGAGCCAACCTATTCGTGCTACAACACTAAAATTCCTGCAGCATAGCTTTACCACGTTAAGAAATACTACCTGAATATATCAGTTATCTGAAGTAACGGTGGTCGGCCCTAAGCTCGAAGAACCGACAAACTCACAGAGTACAAAAGGTCTTTAGTGAGAGCCTCATAACGTTAAGCCGAATGTAAATTTGCCCCGACAAGATTGAGTGACGACCTACCTGGTTAAGCATGCAGGAAGTCGATAGCCAACTTGACCCGTAGCGAATCGATTGGACGACATTACTTAGCCTAATTGTAGTTACGTTTTTATTGTCCTTGTGGTCGTGTAGCCTTGTCACTAGTGGTTAATTAATTTAATTGGTTAAGTGGTTTATAAAATTAAAAACGCTACAATATTTTCTATTCGTATATTTATTTACAACGTGGCCTCTCTTCTGGGATAAGTCCTGGGTTAGTATTACGCACGTAGAAATAGGTAAGATTTAGAATAATTATAGAGAATATTCGGCTGTTATTCGGTATTCGGCCTATTCGACTACTTTTATCTTATTCGATCGAATATCGAATATCTAGGTACTATTCGTTCAAACACCGAATACTTAAGTAAGATGTTTTATTGTAGTCAGATAATAGGTAAAATTAAAATATTTATTTATTTTATAATTATTTTCTCATGTGGTTACAAGTAAATTTAAAGTAGCCATAGGTACCATATTATAAAAACTCGAATTTTGTACTCGAAATATCGTAATTAAAGTGGAAGATAATGGTACACAAGGATTAATTTTTCTTCATTTTCAGGCAGTAGTTTACTCCTTTTCTTTTTAATTTTTTCGGAGACAATCCCAACTTCAGAGAAAACGCTCTGAAGAATAAACACTACTTCCGTCACAACGGAATACCTTCGCCTAATATTCGGCTATTCGGTCAGGAAGTCCGAAGAATGTTCGGTATTCGGCGTGCGACCGAATATACTATTTATTTCAAGTCTAATAATAAGTATATTGTTATAGAATGGATGGTAATCGGTGTTAGTATGACGTGACAATAATAATATTTACAATGTTTTTTTTTATAAAAGCTTACTTGAAGTCAACTATATGGATAATTGAGCTAAGTGATACAAAACCACAAGACGTAAATGACCGCTTACAACAGTATTAGGAATTTGCTAAAAGAACTTATAACACGAATGTGGGAGAATAATTAGAATAAGCTTATTAAGAATATTAAACTCCTATCTTTAAAATGAGGGTGGACATTAATAGAATACAATTATCATGAATAGGACTGTATTAATGATGATTGAATTCGCAAATTAAAAATCTAAAAAATTTATCCACCGAATAAATAATAGCAAGGTTTAACACAGTTCTAGTGCCGTTGTCCTAATCTGCGCTTGCTAGGTGGAAACTTTACTCTAGGTAGAGTAGAAAAACTTTCGTACCAAGGATAATTGGTCATAGATAAAAAATAAACGGCTAAGTGCGAGTCGGACTCGTGCATTAAGGGACCTTTCCATCGTAAAAGACGTTTCTAGTAGGAAAAATGAAAGGGGGCTCCCCTTTCATTTTTAATTTATTTTATTTTATTATTTGTTGTTATAGTGGCAACAGAAATACACATTCTGTGAAAATTTCAACTGTCTACCTATTACGGATCATGAGGTACAGCTCGCTAACAGACACGGACGGACAGCGGATTAGTAATAGGGTCCCGTTGGTTACCCTTCGGGTACGGAACCCCAAAAATAGTTTTATTTTAAGTGCTTAATTTATCACCGCCACTACACGGTTACGCGCCGATACTTATTAATATTTATAAAAGTTTTATCACTAGATTAAAAAACGTTTAAAAGCATTTTTCGATCCCGTCTATCCTCTCCTCCTACCTCCCAGTGTCGTACACTTTTAGAATGTGAAATGAAATCTGAGAAAAATGACGCAAACTGTACACTACGATAATGAATTCTAGGCTGTTGCAAAATTTTATCAAAATCCTTCTAATAATGAATCCTGTAATGAACTCTAACAAAACATTAGATATATCTATCTACGTTAGTTTAATGTTGCTACTGACATTCCTTTACAACAATAGCATTCTAAACGTAGCAAGGTTTGCACATCCGCTTAGTTATTTCCAAGCTAATACAAAAGCGCTTCTTACATATGCAAATCGTTACAGATAATGCACTCTCACAATGTCACGCTTCACGGTCGAACGGCTAATCGCTGTTACGCTTGCTCCTTAGTCTTAATCCTGAAAAGCACAATCAATAATAAGCTGTAATACGAATACTTAGTTGCGAGTATTGCATGTACATTTATACAAAAAGACCACAGACACACAGTGAATGCCACGATGACATTATTAACTAAATTGTGCAAGCTGGAAACAAAGAACTTTTTTTTTTTGAAAAACTAGCCTTTTAGTTAACAGTCTAGCCTTTTTACTAAAAGGCGCCGTTCAACTAGCGGCCTGAATGATATCCAGCCAATGCGTCTAATACAACATTGCAACTATCTTGTAATATCAGCGACAGTCGGTTATGGTGCTGCTAAAGCCACGTACATTTATATAATATAGCACATAGCGCATAGTTAGGCACAGACTAGCGATAACGGTTAAGTTGAATGGCGCCGTTTAGTAAAATGGCTAGGCTGTTAACTGAAGGGCTAATTAAGGTAGTAGACTGCGACATAATACCTATTAATACGTGGAGAGCAAACTATGTACCTCTTTTTAAGCGTATTGCGCACACAGATAGTGAGATTTAGCATAATAATGTTTATATGGAGGAGTGCAGAGCGCTAAAATTTATATATAATATATGTGGTATTAATACATTAAATAAAATTAAATAAAACATATTGTTTACGTCACATAATTATTGTCGATTGGACTGATTATGTCGTTTGTTGATGTTCATACTAACAAATATATAGAAGATTCATTATGTGTATTATAGACTATTTAATTAACTACCAGATACAGTTTACATACTTTTACCAACCGTAACATAAATAGTTTAATTTTTTTTAATTTAACCAACAAAACACAAGATACTGTATCAATCCGTCTCGAATATAATCAATGAAACATTGTGTTTCGAGTAAACAGGCGAGTAACGTTGGTAACACGGTACCGTGCCAAATCCAATTTTACGCTAACTATAGTTTGATACTAACACAAAGACAAATTTTAAATACGTTCGAAACGAATAAATAACACGAAAATTTGAATTCTAATAAATAATATATAATTAGGAAAATCCAAAATCGCACGTGTCATGAGTTTTTTTTTTCTAAATAAATAACTTTTTGTTCTTGAGTTCAATAACAAAAATCAATAGGGATACTCAGAATATATGTAATCTTATGTAATACTACTTAATATTATTTTAATTTTTATACTTAAAAGGAGACCCCGTCCCCGATTATAATTAATGTATGATCATTTACTGAATAAACTATTTTTTTTATTACTATTTATCTCCATCTATTACTTTTCTAATAGGCGAGAAGACTCACCGACGCACAGACCTGACGGCGATTTTTTCAATTATATTTTTTGTTATGTAGGTCTAAAGTGAATCAATTAAAAAATTAATCAATCTTATGATTCAATGTCTGTAGTTATTGTAATGTTAATACTACAGACTAATATGGAATAGATGTCTAGCTAAAAGTATAAGAACGTTTTTATATAGCGAAATTGAGGTATGGCCACATATAACTCTTTAACCCTCGTTTGTAAAAATATAATTCTCCTTGAGTGGAAATAAAATAGAAGTAATAATGGAACTCTCTAGGTTCTAGGTGGACCACAATTTGTCCTTTGGTTTGCTCAGGCCGACACCCCGAAAGTCGTTTATAGGAAATGCAATCTCGTTCTCGCGAGATCTCGGCCTTTTTAGCGAGATTGATCTCGGACGAAAAAAAGACGAGATCTCGCGAGTTTAACGAGATTTCACTCGAGCATAAAAACGTCTTTTTCGAAGCGCGGAGTTGCGATCTGTCGGCTTCGTTCGGTGCGTTTCGGTAGCGGGACGAGGTGTCTCTCAGACTCGTTCGAGCGTATTTCATTGCAAGAAGAACTTCAGGAAACATTGACTGCTACGTTCAAAGAACCTAGAGACAGAAAACTAACTACAAATTCTCTGGAGACATTAATCAAAAAGGAAATGAATTTATACGAGTCCGAGGGGTCAAAAGACGAACTTTTACAGTTCGTGGATGGAACTGCCTGACATCTGTGGTTCCAACTAGCGTTTAATCCGAAAGGGCCTTCTCAGCGGCTGGTTATCTGGCCAACAAAATAAGAAGTCGTTTAGCAGACGATTCTTTTGACATTTTGTGCTTCTTAAGGAGCTACTTTCAAAATAATTCGTAATAATGGCTCGTGATTTGAACTGAACAAATCTTTCATTTGATTGGTATATTTTGTTAATTAATCTGTAATATCTAACGGATCTTCTGAGTAAATATAGTTTTATTTAATTGATAATAATATCTCAGTTTAATAGTCAACTCAACTTAGATAATAAGTTTCATTTTTTTTTTTACTTTTCGTTATTTTGTATTTTATAAAAGAACTATTTTATTACTAAAAGATTTTTGTTTGATATTAGAAGAGAAAACTGGTTGTTTCTTTTATTTGTTATCTGATAGATACGTACGTCAACGTTTACAACTCAGAAGTTTATTAAAAAATAAAAAATTATACACAGATACGTCAAACAATGTTTGATGCGTAAAAGTCTATTGAAAAAAATTCGTGAAAATGTTTATCTTATAATACTTATAATTTTTATAATTTTTTTCCTAATTTATTCAAATATTGTGATTATTTGCAAAAAAACACATAAAACTGCTAATATCGCGAGATCTCGCAGTATTGTTATTCATAAACTCGCGGGATCTCGCTTGAGCCCCAATCTCGCGAGATTTGCATTCCCTAGTCGTTTGAACCGAGAACTTGGACCTTTTTATGTAATTATATTTTTGGTGATGGTTGTGGGTATCATAAATTTCTGAGATTTTTTTTATCATTTTATTGTTCATATAAATATTGTTTACATTATATTTTTAACAAGCTGTTTACCGCGACGTCGCCCGCGTGTAATTTAGGATTTTAATTATGTTGCGCGGAACTCTAAATTATATTTCCATTCTAAAATATAAGTATCCTAAGTTACTCCTTATAACATCAGCTATCTGCCAGTGCAAGTCCCGTTGAAATCGGTCCAACCATTTCGGAGATTAGCCGGAACAAACAGACAGACAGACAAAAATTTTAAAAATGTTGTTTTTGTTATAAGTCCCGTATATATACTTTCATATGCATTTAGAAAAAAAGCTGTTATTTTGACATTACAAACAGACACTTCAATTTTTTTTTGTATAGATATATGTAGATATATTTAAACTAGAAAAATTAAATGTCGACAAAGTTTTGGCTATATCAAGTAATACATTTATTCATCTATACAAATAAATAAAATTGAAGTGTCTGTTTGTAATGTCAAAGTTACAGTTTTTTACTAAATGCATATGAAACTAAATACGGTACCTATAACTAAAATACAATTTTTAAAATTTTTGTCTGTCTGTCTGTCTGTCTGTTTGTTCCGGGTAATCTCCGAAACGGCTGGACCGATTTTGACGGGACTTTGACTGGCAGATAGCTGATTTCACAAAGAGTAACTTGGGCTACTTCCATTTTAGAAAAAGAATTAGTGTTCCGCGCAAAAACATAAAAACCCTAACACGCGAGCGAAGTCGCGGGGTACAGCTAGTTTATTATATATGGACAACAAAACAGATAAAAATCAAATTACATTAAAGAAAAACACTTATTTAACCGTTCTGTATTAAGACTATTATATATATAGCTGTTCGCAGCGACTTCGTCCGCGTGGAATTTATTATGATTGGATTTCATGGGTTTTAATTTTTTTTAGCGCGGAACCCTAATTATTTTTCTAAAATAAAAGTAGCCTAAGTTACTCATTACAACATAAGCTATCTGGCAGTGAGCGTTTTTCAAAAAACGTTACCGAGTGGTGGCCAAGACAAAACAAACGAAAGAAAGGGAGGCAGCGTCTTAGATGGCAGGATGATATACAAAAATTGCTGGAGTTACTTGGAGGAGGATTACCCAGGATCGGAAAGCGTGCCAAGCTCTAGGGGAGGCCTTGGCCGAAATGCAAGACAATCACAAAACCGTTGTACCAAATAATTAATCTATATATTTAGGTTTAAGTTACTTCATACAAATTGTTTTACTACTTATAGTATTTTCATACGCATATTCTGTAAGATTGTTATATAAAGGCTATTATTATTATTATCATCTGGCAGTAATATTCCCGTCAAAATAGGTCCAGTCATTGCGGAGATTAACTGGAACAAACAGACAGACAGAAAAAAAAATTTAGTTATAAGTACCGTAAGTATATACTTTCATATGCATTTAGTAAAAAAGCTTTTATTTTGACATTACAAACAGACACTAACTTTATTTAGTTGTATAGTGTGTAGATAAACAAAGAAATAAAATAATAATCTTTTTTGCTATAACTAACATTATAGACACAAAAACTATGACAGTAAAATGTCTAGCATCACCACTACCCACATTCTCTTAGTGGAATGCCGGCGTATATTGAATGTCATTTGTAAAACATGCACGGAGCACGGCCACTGCTTTATACGTACGCATAGCTCCGTCAACATTAAATTATTCGCTCGATACACTTTTATAGGATAACTCTAATCAGCACATTAATCTGGGTTGTTTCACCGACATCAATCACATTACGCACTTCTATATTTTCTTTATTCAATACAAAGGTTATCCATTATCATTTAGTTGTTATATATTGTACACGCTTGAACGGACTTGCTGCATTTACATAATTATGTACAATAATTATACCATAAACTATAAACTCGTTCATAAATAACAGTTAATGAGAATTGACGAGCCTTAAGTAGTAACGCCAAGTTTACACATTTAAAACATGTATTTCTTTTATATACGTAGGTATTTCATTAATATATTTACATTTAAATTGCCAAATAAAAGAATTTAATTTGTGAATGGTGTTTTAAATTTTCGATTTAAAATTATTTTTAATCAGTATCTCTAAATTGGTTTTAAGCGATGTGCAATTTCAGCTTAAAGAATTTATTAGTGGCTTGCGATCCGCGCCGGCTTGCCACAGGCGAAAACAGCGCCACCTGCCAGGTTTCAAT